AAAAAAAGCATGGGAGATTGATCAAATTATGGCAAAAGCCCAAAGCCTGTTATAGAGTAAGGAATTGGTATTTTGGCCTTAAACAGCACTAGTGAGCAGAAGATGCAATCAGTAATTTAATCAGTCTTTGGAAAGAAGAATAACATGTGTTGTGTGTAATCAACAGGAAAACAAATTAACTCCTTGCTGACTGACACAAAGTCAATGGTTACTGAAAATACTGTATTTAAATAGCCCAAAATACTGCATTGCAAAAACATTCAGGAATAGATTTTCTTGGTAATATGTGAAAGAGCTAACTTAAATGCCTGGGGTTTCCTCTATGAACTGAAAAGGTCTTCCATGTTTGTGAAATAATGTCAGGGTTTATTTTGGCCTCCTGTATTTTTTTTTCGCTTTCTGATTTGTTTTTTTGTTGTTGACTAAGATATTGACTATATTTATTAGTGCCAAGATCAAATTTAAAAAAAAAAAAAACCCAAACTGGCTCATTACCTCCTTGGGTTCATTAATGAGCTAAAAGTTGATGATGTGCATATGTTTAATCAACAGTAATTATAACTTAGAAGTGCTTCTGTGCCATCCTGAGAGATAGCGTAAGGCAGCCCCAAATTTCAACAAGAGACACATGTCAGCCATCAGTGGATTAAAGAGTCATTTATCTGTGACTCATTTGATTAGCCAAACTTTTCGAGTTATTAACATTTTTTCCTTTCGTTTTTTTAATTATCAAAAAGTACTTCATTTCACCTTTTTCACTTTTCAGTCAGCATTGCAATTGTCTGTCTCTGAGAGGGTTAAAAGGCTTCTCCTAAAATTCAGGTCACAGTTTGATTCATTAACAGCTACTGAGGACTAATCTTTGTAGGATGGGAGTGTTGGTAAATTGACTTGAACAGGCAAATCTCTGCTGCCAGGCAATTGTGATTGCCCCGTGTGGGTATGAGTTTACATACATGCCCTGCCATGTGTCTAGCAAAGAAAGGACACAAAGTTTAGAGGTTCATCCCCTCCATCACGTCAGTGAATAACTGGGTTTGAAGAGGTGCCATTGCCTGCCTGGTGGTGACACTCTCTTTGCTTTGTCTCTGCTGAAGTCCACAGGAGCCCAGGTGCAGGTAGCAGGGGACATGCTGCCAAACTCGACGGAGCGCGCGGTGACTATATCGGGCACTCCCGACGCTATTATCCAGTGTGTGAAACAGATATGCGTGGTTATGCTGGAGGTAAGTGGGCACTTGTCATATCACCTCTCACTTAGGAAATGCTTAAACACATTATTAATCATTGTCAATTGCCACAGTTCCCCTGGGGTGGTCTCTGCCCTTCCTGTGCTGGAGATTTCTGGAGGACTCTGATAGACTGTGCCCTTCCTGGTGTTTGAGAGCCTCTCCCAGCAGGGTTTAGCAATCAAAGACCAGGGCAGTCATGATATTGTCAAACAACCACCAGGTCCAGCACAGAACTGCAGCCCATTCTGAGGGAAATGCATTTTATTCTGATGCAGAATAGGGCAGAAAACATCTGTGTCTTGTTTGAAGTAAAACCAATTCTGACTAGCGTAATTTAGATTTACCAGGAGATTTTATTTCCTTAGGGTCAGGTCATTACATAAGGCCAGAATGTTTCATTTTGATGGCAGTTTTTTAGCTCTTAGATTAAATGCTACAAAATTAATTTATATAAAAATCTGGGAAAATTAACCTTGCTGAAAATGCCCATTATTTCATGCAAGAACATTCTTCAACTGAATAGCAGTTTGAAAGAAAAAAACTTCAGCAAATAAAAATTGAGTATCTTGACCTAGTAATTAATGACAAGGAACATGAAACATCTCTGCTTTTATCATGTTTTCCACTGGAAAATTTTCTGTGTTTTTTTTGGTTTACTTTGCTTTTTACTTGAGTCTAGTCAAGGGCTATCTCATGGTGGTCTCTGACACTTTACTGTTCTGTTATTCTTTGAAGAGGGGAGAGGAAACCGTGAAGTGTCTGAGACAGCACTAGAGCTATTGGCTGTTCAGAAGTATGCAATGAATCAAAATGATGGAGAACTTTTGCATCAAAATGTCATACAGCCTAAATGCAAATAAAGGCATAAAAGTTTAGAAATCCCCAGTGTTCCACTGGGGAAAAGTGACCCTTCATTTTTTTGCTGAACAACTGTGAGGAAGGGATTTCTGTGTAAAAATGCAAGAGAATAGAAATTAATTTTAAAAATTAATCTTAATTTGTTAGAAATGGAGTACATGAAGACAATAGTTATCAACTTTGTAACTACAGAGTGTGGTCTATTGTCCAAGTGACATTCATGGAATAAATAGTTACTTGTTAAACATGAGAGAAGCCACTTCTCAAGATCAGAGAGACACAGTCTGATTTTCCCACAAGTAGAGCCACTTTTTAAATAATCATTTTTCACATAAGAGTCCTTAATTTCAGCATTAGGCAAATCACAGGCACAAAGAAGACACTGGCTTAACTGCAGTTTGCTGCTTCAAACATTTAAGAAATATATGTGCTCTAATTTGCAAAATATATGTTCTTTTTTTGGCAGCAAGCACTTTCAGTGACATGCAGTAGCTAATTATATGGTATCAATTAATGGAAATATATATTGTTGTTACCTTCTTTAGTTGCATTTAACACACTGAAATCAGGTCACCATTCTGCTAGGTGTTGCACAGCCAGCTTGAAGCCTTTTTTACTGACACATGCTCCTGCTTTGTTTAGGAGAGGAAAGTTAGCCTCAGTCAAGGGTTTTCCCTTTGGGTCCTTGCCTTGGGCCACAGGGAACAAACCCCTTGATGCATTATGAAGGCTGTGGTTATACTCCTGAGGCTTTTTCTCCAGCCTTCCAGCTGAGTCAGATGAAACAGGATCAGGCTGATCTTTTGCAATGGAACAGCTGACTTAATTGACTTGGTCAAAAAAGAAACCTTCTTGTGTAGTAGTGGGAGAAGGATTGATAAGCAGAAGGTGTGCTCTGTGTCAGGAAAGTGGGAGCACAGGTTGAACTCTTCCAAAACATTGACAAACATCAGATTTGTGCCAATGTTTCCTGAAATGCCTTGACATGATTAGTGAAGCTTCATAGCTCATCCAGCAATGGCAGTAGTGAAACTATGACTGTCAGCACTGCCTGTTTTGGCTGTGCAGACAGGTCCTCAGCTCTCCCCCTCAAAGCCCAGGCAGGTGGCCTCTACCATGCTTTTGGGCTGATGGGGTGGAGGGCAGGGTGGGCTGGGCTGGGCTAGGTTAGCTGCATGCCTTGGACTGAGGTGACCAAGATAAAGAGTGATTATTTTTAACATGAGCTCTACTTCATTCTGCATTTTGATCACTTTGTGTTTTTGTCTGCAGTCCCCACCCAAAGGTGCCACCATCCCCTACCGTCCCAAACCTGCCTCTGCACCTATCATTTTTGCAGGTGGCCAGGTAAGAGCAGACACCATTTTGGCTTCAGCTGGAAACCACACCGTCTTGGCCCAACCTCAGCCAGCGCCTGTTAGTTTTCAACTTTTACTCTTTCTTGCCTGGTATAGTATTGATGTGCTTTGTCTACTCTGTGTGCTTACAGTTTGCAGGACAGGAGAGCACTGCATTGCAAACTTGATGCAAAATCATGAGGACTGGGATTTTACCAATATTTAAAATTAACTTCTGTAATTAAGAAAAGTTTGCCCATCTGTGAATTGAAAGGCATCCAAATCAGGTGCTCATTGAGTGGGACAAAACTGTTTATTGTAGGGGTCAGTTTTTTGACTCTTAACTTGCAGCTCCACTAGCAGTATAAGCAGTTTTGTCAGTTTTCAGAGATGATCAAACAGCAAGACATCTCAGCTCATGAAAGGTGTAATTTTTCTCTCACAGTTTTCATATTTTTGAGGACCAAATAGTGCATTTTGCAGTAAAAATTTACACACACGTAATTTCTGCTGCTTGTAGTCCCTTGGGACCAAGTACCAATGGGGTTCTGAGGCTGCAGGAACTACACACATGCAAGCGTAGACCTTCCCAACCATGATGTGCAATGGGCTGATTGATAACACAAAAACAGTGTTCCTGTTTCTTTTTAACATAAGGCAGTTTTGACAATTCCCCCTTCACCTTAAGCTTTATCAGTCAGGGCTCTCTGCCTTTAAAACCCCACACGCAGTGTGATTCCTCTGTGTCTTCTGGTAATGTCCTGAAATGAGTCTGCAGTGTGCAGCTGAGACAGCAGG